GGATAGTTTGTGGCGATCTGAAAGTTTTGGGAATGATGCTTGGTCTACAGGGAGGACTAAAAAAGTGTGGCCAACCCAACAAACATTGGGGCCAGATGAAAAAATTGTTTTCCACAAAGCTTTAGTCGATCCTAGAAAAATTTGTCTTCCCTCTCTTCACATCAAGTTAGGACTCATGAAACGATTCGTCAAAGCTTTACTCAATACTGGTGACTACTTTCAATACCTCTGCACACCAGGTTAGGTTGTACAAAATTTTAAGATTCCAGGTTAAACAATTTTTGATATAAAGATGTTTAAAAATAACAAATTTTTGAAATTTCCTAAAAATGAGGTTGAAGAGAAAAAAAAATTTCTCCGAAACTATTGGAGATAAAGAAATGAAACTTTTTGAGGTTATAAAAGAATGTTTGAGGTTAGGTTGTACCAAATTTTAAGATTCCAGGTTAAACAATTTTTGATATAAAGATGTTTAAAAATAACAAATTTTTGATATCTCCTAAAAATGAGGTTGAAGAGAAAAAAAATTTTCTCCGAAACTATTGGAGATAAAGAAATGGAACTTTTTGAGGTTATAAAAGAATGTTTGAGGTTAGGTTGTACCAAATTTTAAGATTCCACGTTAAACAATTTTTGATATAAAGATGTTTAAAAATAACAAATTTTTGATATTTCCGAAAAATGAGGTTGAAGAGAAAAAAAAATTTCTCTAAAACTATTGGAGATTAAGAAATGAAACTTTTTGAGGTTATAAAAGAATGTTTGAGGTTAGGTTGTACCAAATTTTAAGATTCCAGGTTAAACAATTTTTGATATAAAGATGTTTAAAAATAATAAATTTTTGATATTTCCTAAAAATGAGGTTGAAGAGAAAAAAAATTTTCTCCAAAACTAATGGAGATTAATAAATGAAATTTTTTGAGGTTATAAAAGAATGTTTGAGGTTAGGTTGTACCAAATTTTAAGATTCTAGGTTAAACACTTTTTGATATAAAGATGTTTAAAAATAACAAATTTTTGATATTTCTTAAAAATGAAGTTGAAGAAAAAATTTTTGTTCTCCAAATCTATTGGAGAATAAGAAATGAAACTTGTTGAGGTTATAAAAGAATGCTTTCAAAAAGATGATCACTACATTTTCAGGGAATGAAAAGAACTATATCAGCATTGTAGATGATTTTTTCAAACAAATGGAAAATCTTGGCTGCCTGATGAGCAAAAAAGTTCACTTTCTACATTCTTATTTGGATTTTTTCTCTGAAATCTTGGGTAGTAGCAGTGAAGAGCAGGGAAAACGTTTCCATGAGGATTTTAAGGTCATGGAGAGGAGATATCAGGGCGGTTGGAATATCAGTATGATACACTTCATCAAGGGAATCCAAGTGTTACTCACAAGAAGAAAAGTAACAATCATATTCATACCAGTTAGTTTCAGATTATTGTGTCGAAATGCAGAAAAACGTTGGGTGATGGGAAAAAGCTGTTCATTTTCGGATTCAGCACCTTTCAAAACTGTTAGATCACCCTAAATAATCTAAAAAGTTTTTATGAAATTAATTTTTGCAGGCCTGTGTTATTAATATAACTAGTTTAAACTTACCAACAATTTAAACTAAATATTTTAAAATCCATTATTTCTCGAAAATGAAACAAAGAAAATTAAAGGTTATTTTTTTTTAGGTTAGGTTATTGTTGACGTGTCAAACAAAGTAATTTTTAATTTATAAAATCGTTATTTTTAATTTAAACAATCTTAATTTTGTTACAACTTAGTTTAATTTACGTTTTTAAACAAATTAATAAATCAAAACTTAATAAATAAAGTTTGATTAAAAAATTGAAATTACAAACTTAACCCCATCCATGATTAAAAAGATCTATGATCACCTGTTTTATTTTTTATCACAAATGTCGTTGTTGTTATCGTGTTTTAGTGTTCAAATTGATAATTAACGTTGTATTCGTCGTTTTAAATGAGAAGCATTAACTAAACTTTATAATATGTTAAAAACCTTCGCCGATACGCTAACTACACAATAACTAACCTAAAAATCGGTTCAAAAATGGATCACGATAAAGAAGTGAAACTAAAAACGGACTCAAATCATGTTTATTACGGCGTACACGTCCCTAATTTAGTCGAAACGTTGGAAGAAGTCGAAAAAACGAACGTATTCACCGACAAGGCGGAAGCTTTAAAGCTGGTGAAGCAATTCAAAAAAGCCAGATTTAAATGTTTTAATTATTACCACGAAGCGGTTGAGTTCGCGACTCACGGTGGGGACACTCCCTTTATTAACAACCACAGTTTTAATTCCAACTCAAAAAAAGAACCAGAAAACGAAAATTTATCATGCATCGTAAATGAAAAGTGCCAATTTCGAGGACCAAAATCTCAAGATCTGATCAAATTAAGAAAAGCAATCGAGACAAACGACTTAAATTATGTTGAAAAAACGGTTTGGGATAATCCAAGATATTTAATAAGTTCCGGGGATACCCCTTCAATTTTACAAGAAGGTTCTCGATACAATGCTTTACACATTGCGGCGAAATCGAAACATTCTGATATGTGCGAACTCATTTTAAACACAGTGGGGAATGTTGATTTTATTGAAAAGCTATATGGGGAAGATGAACACCAAAATTCGGAAGATAGGGTTAAAATTTTACTTGATTTGTATTTAAATACACCCGATAAAGGAGTTAATGAGACCCCCTTGCATTTCGCTGTTAAATTTGGAGCCTTGAAAGTCGTTGAGGTGTTAGTTTCATATCCCCAGTGTGATAAAAACGTTAGAAATAAATATGGTAAACTTCCAAATCAAGTAAGATTAATTTTTATCGTTTAAATTTTTTATAAATAAATTTTTATTCAAGGTTGTTTGTGAACGTTATGAAGGATATGCTGAAAAATTGAAGGAACAAATTTCGAACTTATTAGAAGATAATTTTTATGTTCCTGTTTTACGATATGAAGGGAATTGTACTCCGCCTGTAATTGGAGAACCATTTTCACCAAAAAGCCCACCTGTAAATAATTAATTCATTAATTAAGTATAGTATAACTTTGATATAATGGATTAGTATGGGGAAAGGAATGGGAAGAGTAGAATCAATTGACTTAAAAACAATTAAAACTAGAACTACCATCCTTAATTTATTCAGAGTATAGAGAAGGTGTTCCCAATCTTTTTTATACTGAGACTCCCTTTACAGGTTGTATTTTTTTGCGACGCCCTTCTAAAAGAAGCTATTTGTTAAAGTAGCTCTATTTATTTATTATTTTTATTTAATTGAAGAAAAGATTTCCAAAGATTCTATTTTAATTAATATTATTTATTAGAAAATATAACAGTACAAGGTGTCCAAATTTCGATGGGGTTGCAAAGTGTCTCAGTTATTATGACAAATTGAAAGTTGCGGTTTTTGCGAACCTGAGCTACTTTTTTGTGAAACTTATAATGGCGCAAACCAAATTTTCATAGCCCTCATTATTTTTGATATACAGGAAGTGTTTCAAAATTTACGATTTTTAGACACCCCTGTATCTTGGCTATCCAGAAACTTAGTAAAAAAGTAAAAACGGGTTTTAATAGACTTTTTCACGTAGAATCCAATGATGCACGTAGAATTTTTCTAGTCATCACGGTTTTTGAGTTATAAACACAACTTAGGTTTTGTTAAATGAACCACCTATACAGGGTAGAGGACAATAAATTAAGATGATTTAACCCAACGTATCTCTATACTAAGTTGTACCCCTGAGGAGTTATAGGCCTTCAAAGTTGGGTTTTAAATTTTTAAAACATTCAATATCTTCATAATACATTAAGCTAGAAAAACCAAATTTGGTATACGTTATGAGTGTACCAAAGGTATTAATTGGTAGCAAATTGAGGCATTTCAAAGGGTTGATTAAGGGTGATGGTCACCTAAATGTTGACAGATTTTTTTAATCTTTTGGTGGATTTAATACATTATTACCTCATTTCATGTGGAATTTAATTCCAAAACTTTTTTTACTCTTATTATTTTTTAAAAAACATTGTCGTTTTCATAAAAAACTCAAATAAAACAGTGTTGTCAAATAATTTTATAACCTATTTGTCAAGTTTGACGTACAATTTCATAACCGACTACTGAATTTTCGCTTATTTTAAGTATTATTACCAGAGCCCGGACAGTTTAGGAAAAGTGCGCCCCTCTACACGAAATGAATTCCATGACAACGACGTAAGTACGTTGTTGTCACTTTTGACACCTTTTAAGTTACTCTTCAAAATTGAATTTCGAAAAGCGATGAGCGTACCTTAGCGAAGAACTTGCAGTGCAACATTAATTAATGAATTAATAAAAATAATATAAAAATACGCACTGAATTATTCATTTTTGGTTTTATTAAATTTATAATTAATAAATTAATTATAAATTATAATTTATTTTGTGACATAAGGTATGACGTATCCGACAGCTTCGCACGCTTCGATTGAATAATGAGACTGGTGTGGGAGGCGTTTTAGGATAATTTTCCTAAACTGTCCGGGCTCTGATTATTACGAAATAAGTGTCTTTAGTTATTTAAGTTTTTTAATGTGTCGGTTTTTATATGAATCACCCTGTATTTTATTTTTTTATTGAACTAGATTTTTTTCAAATATACAGTCATCCACGACAAACGTCCATTAGAACTTTACAGTTTTCTGGCCAAAATAAAAATTTGAAAATTCAGATTTAAGTATTATCAATTGCGTTCTCTTCGACTAAAATATTTTCAGATATCTAACACTTCCGGTTAAACCGGAAATCGCCACCTACTTTATTTTTTTAAATGGAAGATCTTGTATATTTTTACATATTTGGATTTGTCTGTTTTCAAAGTTTATGAATGGCTTTACTTTTTGCAATTTGATTCGGCCGTTCTCGAGTTATTCGAATTTTTCTAGAAAAATCTGCTCCAGTAGACATTTGTTCAAAAAATCAGAGAACACTTCATTTTGGGATATCAATTTAGGACTCAGAACATGCTTAAGCAACATGATGCTTTGGTGCCGAGTATGGCTGTCTAGAACGTATGGTCACTTTACTATGGCACGTTACCTTTTCGAAACTTGGAAGTACCATAACTTTATTTCTTTAAATGGCACCCCCCATATTTTATTATTTAGTCGTCTTCGGTGTCTCATTTTACATCTTTTATATCCCATATGTCCTATATCTAACATTTATAGTTTGGGAAATAAATAGGGTTTTTTGAAAAATGCACACAAATATCGATATTTAACCTAGTGTGTCATGAATACCTAGTGCGACCTAGTGAATAACCGAATGAAGTGGAGGTTTGAAAATTTGCAGACTTGTGATGTTTGATGCCAGCTTTTTAACTAAAGTATTTTCAGGTTCCGGATACTCGTGGTTACATCGGAAGATCATATTTCAAATGGAACCCTGTATTTCATTACATTTTTGAAATTTTTGTTCTAGATTTTGTTCTTCTTCTGATATGCCGGAAGTGCTAGAAATCTGAAAATATTTTAGTCGAAAAGAACGCAATTAATAATAATTAAATCTGAATTTTCAAATTTTTGTATTGGCCAGAACCTTGTAAAGTTCTAATGGACGGTCGTCGTGGATGACCCTGTATACAGTGTGTCCGTAAAGTAACGGATATAAGCTGTAAAATCATAATAAACGGTTTATGGAAAAATCCCTGAAACGGGTCTAAAGATTAATTTTTTTTTCAATTTTTTGATGTAGATTTCAAATCTTTTCCGCCATTTTTAAACGAGTTATGACGTCATCGAAATTTTTTTCAAATGGCAATCCCCCATTTTTATTACAGAATATGAAAGAGGATTTTTTTCTGAATCTAGTACAGTCAATATTAATATCAGTTATATAAGAAAATTTTAGAGAAAAATTATTTTAAAGTTTAATTACTTCAATTTTGTATAAATGATAAAAATAGCAGTGGCCATGAGTAACTATGGCAACCAATTATTTTAAACAATTCCCTGAGTGTCAAAAACTGATTTAGCCAAAGTATGGTGAGCCTAACTATGACTAAATTTAAAAAGGATGGGCATCTCTCAAAGCATTTCTCGAAGTCTGGTTTACTAAATGTTTCAGGAGAAGTTCAATAAAGTGTGGTTTTGGGTGGCATCATGTTAACAAATCGGAAGTAGTTAAACTTTAAAGTAATTGTTCTCGAAAATTTTTTTATGAAGCAATATTAATATTGACTGTACTAGATTCAGAAAAAAATCTTCTTTCATGTTCCGTAATAAAAATGGGAGATTACCATTTGAAAAAAAAACCGATGACGTCATAACTCGCTTAAAAATGGCGGAAAAAATTTAAAATCTATACCAAACAATTGGAAAAAATTTAAATCTTTAGACCCGTTTCAGGGATTTTTCCATAAACCGTTTATAATGATTTTAGCGCCTATTTCCGTTACTTTACGGACATATTCTATGTTAAAGTAGGGTAAAAATTAAATGATCTCAGTTTTCATTTATAAAATTAGATTCGTTTTGTATACAGGTGTCCAAAAAGTATGGAATAATGGTTCTACAGCCTTAACTTCAACTTATATTAAAAAAAGTTTTAAATAAAAGCTGCTTAAAACTATTTTCCGCATACTTGGTGTAGAATCTTCAATAGTACCTTAAACCAGCGTCACCATTTTGTTTTTAAATCTACACCAAAATATGCCGAAACTAGCAAAATTAAGGCTTTTTCGAAATCAACTTAAAATTCGAGCGAAAACTGTCTCTGTTACCATAGTAACACACATAACAATCCCATAATGACGCCATAATTTGGTTTCAATATCTCGAAAACTATGCAGTTTAAAGCATTAAAACCTTATAGCGTTTTGCAACACCTTGTCAAAAGGAATCCAAAAACCTTAAACAGGTGTTCTATTTAAAATACACTCGCCATGTCGTAACTCAAATTGCCGTCATCATTTTTATTTTATTTCTACACCAAGATATGCGGAAAATAGTTTCAAGTAACTTTTATTTAAAACATTTTTTAATATAAGTTGAAGTTAAGGCTGTAGAACCATTATTCCATACTTTTTGTACACCCTGTAGATGTAGCATTAATAGGATATCTCAGTATTCTGTAGATGTGCGATTGGAATACAGAGAGTTTATGATTGTTAGGATGGTAAAAGTCATATGGTATAATAGTGTTTAAGTTTGTTGATTTCTTATGTACAGGGAGTCCCGAAACTCAACGTCAAGCAGGCACCGGGTGAGAGGCCATTGCATACCTGTTCTGGCAAAAATTAAAAAAAAATCCATTTCTTTTATTTAAGTGGTAATAGATATATTTTTGAAAATGTTAAAAATCGTTCCCGTACATCATATCTTTAGGTACTAAGGTCAGAAATGTTTGCAATTTAATAGTGATTTTTTTAATAATGTGGTCCTTATGAACCATGCTACTGTAGAAGTCTATAATCAAACAACAAAAGTTGTTAGTTTTGCGAAAAAAATATTAGTTTGATTGAGTTAAGGTTGAAAGAATTTATGTCTATTAAGTTTGAAATACGATTTAAAAAAAAAAGAGTAGTACAACACCCTTGGCAATTTATTTTAAAAGATGGACTGTTTAGTCTAGTTTCCAAATGGTATAACATTTGCCATTTTTCTTTTCATAATAGTATATTATTATACGAGCATATAATGAGGGCTATTATTCACTAAGGTTAAGTTTGAGTGAATAATAACTCATTATATGTGAGTAGAATACTATACTTTGTCCACGACTACTATTGAAATTGATTCCATAAATTTATTTTTTTAAATACATTTTTGAATAAAGTTTTAACGTCAATGTGATACAAATTCAATATTACCAACTGTAACCAACTTCACAACAATTTGTCAAAATTGAATGTCAATTTTATGAAACGTCATGTTTTTTTACGATAATTAATCAATTTATGCTTAAATCATACGAAAAAAGGAATTTGTTTGGGTTTGTTTAATGTCAAACTCATTCATAAGGTATATATTATAAGGTAGTCGTGGACAAACTCATTTATAAGGTATATATTATAACGTAGTGGTGTACAAAAAAAATTATTGGCTGTTTTTCTGCCAAAAGTACTTGTATTTACTCTTTATTTCTTCTTAACTTTGTTAGAAGATGTGCGACTCAATATTTATGAACTACAAAATGTGTGTTCAACAAGATGGGTTCCCTTTATATCTTGCAAAAGGACTGTTTCGAATAAGGTTAACCTACAGACAAAATTAAACAAAAGGAATTATAAAAAAAATTACAAATTAAACAAAAGTAATTAATGAAAAAATTACAAATTAGTCTTGTTCAGAAATAACTCCCTCTTCGTCATTTTTGGATTGGGTTTGGATGTGCTGGCAGAACCATATTGATGGTTTCAGAAAGAAACAAAATAAATTTTCTTTTTTTAAAAGTCCTCATGCTACTGAGCAAGGGATCTGTGCTCAAGAGAAGTCGGTTGAATATATCTCTATTACAGGATTCTCTAGAAAATTTCCTTGAAAAGTCTTGGCGATATGTCCTAAAATGCTTGTTGCGTGAAATGGTTTCCAGTATGATTTTCAACCTATAAATGAACTTGTAACTGATGCCTGTAATCTCTGAACCTAATTTGGGATCTTCAAAAAATCTCCTGCTCGTGTTGCCATCATTCGTATTACCGAAATTTGGCATATCAACTAACATACCAGTTTCTGTGCGAAATTTGGCTTGTATTTCTATTTTCCTCTCTTTTTCTGTATTTCTTTACAGGCAATTTTTATGCCAAATGGAGAATGCTTTCGAAAAATGTTATCCTTACATGTAAAATTGGTTGAAGTATTTGGAAGTCGCACCATAAATGTAGACTTGTAGATGTTGTGCCAGTAGCTGCACTTCATACTTTTCCGTCACCCATTGTGATTATGAACAGATGTTTGGCGAAAAACTTCTTTCCATCAATATCAACCTCAGTTGCGATTAAAGAGTTTATGGAATTTTAGACATATTTCATCTTTTCATTTGTGACATCGGTATTCTCTTTCACGAAACGAAATCTAATGGGGCGAAAACTTTGGCAATGATAAAATTACCCACGTCAATGATTTCTCTATCGTCCTCAGATTCATGTGAAGAATTTAAATTGTCATCAGAACTGTCTGATTTCCATTCTTCATACTGCTCATCAAACAATTCATCATCTAAAACTTTCCCCGTTGCATTATCTTTTTCAAAAACTTTCTTCCTTGGCACCTCATCATCAACACTCGCCTTTTTACCTCTTCGACTTTTGATTTTAATGTCTTACGCAACTTCTTACTTTTCCTACTAGCTATTTCATCTTTTTTGAGCGTGTCAGTGGCGATAATACTTTTCCTTTTTTGGGGTCCACGTCTTGTGGTTTTTCTTTCACCTGCTTTGGGAAATGGACGAATATTTTCAGGGGAGATAAATGGTGTAGTTTGAGATGTTCTATTGGTATTATAACTTTAAAAATATTTTATCCGTTATATCGAGATTTTATTGTATTATTATTAATATAAATATTTTTTTAGAGTTTTGATGTGGATCCATTTAAACCCCGATTAGAAATTCACGCATATGCCGGACCGATGGAAAAAAAAGAGGCTGATAAATTTCGTAAAATTTGGAAAACTCCACCACGTTCGATTTCAAAACAATCATTCGACCGAAAACGTCGCCTCTCAAACAGTTTAGACTCGGATTTTTCTTACAATTTAAAGCTGCGTGATCCCGAGAAAGGTTTAGAAACGGTTGGACGTGAATTAGCAACGAAATACAACGTAAATTGGAAAGAGTATTGGCCGTTTTTAGATGATTTCGTCGATTTGTGTTCGGATGATGGTTTAAAACGCTTTGAAACGTTTTTATCGCAAAAAGTAGATACAAATTTTTCGAATCACAACTCTCCCAAACGGTTAGTTTTTGAAACTAAACCGGCTGATAACTCAAATAATTCCACGATGGAAAGTTTGTGTCGAAAATTGGAGTCAATGTGTATTTTGGATGATTCCTCGATTATTTTAAATGAAAATCCCGACTTTGTTTGTCCTTACGTGTGTTTGGAGCGATCATTAAAAATTTTTGCAACTCGAATTTCGAACGTTTTAAAAAAATTTAATAATTTTATTAATTTCCAAAGCTCTTTAACGGCTGAAATTAAACTTTTCGAACAATTAATCGTTAGTTACGTGGACGATAAACGCTTCGTTGACGTGAATATGCAAAAATCGCACCACCGTTTAGCCGTTTTGATCGCTTCTGGTGGTTTTTTAACGCAAGAAATTCAAATAAAAATAACCGAAATTTTAACGTTGAATTTAGAGATTAATAAACATTTAGAATGCGTTTTAAAAAACGTTTTGAGCGCTCCTAATCATTTTACGACTATGTGTGAAGAAGAAAACTCTCAAAAAATGTGGGAAAACACGGAAGAATGTTGTTGTATTTTTGTAACAAAACCAACAAAATTAAAATATAGTTTAAGAAGAAAAAACAACGGTGTTAAAACAACCGGAAACGCCAATAACAACTCGTATTTTAATAATGTATCTAAATCTCTGTTTAAAGTAAAAAATTCCAATCTTAAAAACGACGATCTTTTTACTTTTAATAGCACTTCTTCGGATGATTCTTCAGAAGATGATGAATTTTTTACACCACCCTCTAGTCCATCATTAATGATGAACGATTTCGACGAAGATATTGACGAATATGATAGTTTTGACGACAGTTTTTTACCGGAAACCGACGTTTTTATAGAAGGGTAACAAAAATGATAATAAATTAATCAAATTTGAATCAATTTTCTTTTAGATCTGAACCAAGCAAAATAGACAGAGACGTTTACAACGCTTTAAAACAAGCCTCATCGAAAATAAACCCACACGATTTTCCTAACATTTACAAATGGAGACATACTTTAAGTTTTTATACGGAATTCGAACAAGAAAATTGGGCAAGTCCAAAACCAGGGGGAAATTTGGGGAATTTAAAAACATCCACTCCGTGTAAAATTAATGCGAATCTTAGTTTTAATTCGCCCGCATCGCCAAAGTCATGGTTTAGAATAACCGGACTGAATTCTCCCAGAGCTAGCTTAAATATGAATAGGACTAGGTTAAGTTTTAATGAGTAAATGGTTTGTTGATATTGTATTAATTTGTTAAAAAAAAATACAAATAATATTTTCTTATTGATATTTGATTAATAAAGTAAATTATTTTAATTCCAAGGAGGGTAGAATTTAAAAATTTTATTGATGGAGCAGGGTTAAATTTGAAACTTTCTAGTTCGTGGAATAGTGTTAGTTCTAGTGATGGTGTTGAAATAAACCTAGAACTAACACTTGACTTAGAACTAGAAATATTCGAGTTTAGCCATGTTAACTCTTACTGGTGCAGTGGTACAAAAAATAAACCACCTAAATTTTCACCCAACTGACCACCAATTCAAAATTATTTTCCTACTTTCGCAATAACCAGCTCAAATCCGACACCATATTCTCTGTTTCAACTATTTTTAGGTTTTTCAGGCAACCTTGAAGAACAAATGCGTGCTAGAAAACATTACAGGAGAACGACGTGCGGAGAAATAAATGTTTTTTTTTTAGGAATTAATTTACTTATGAGGATCAAGCATTGGCCAAGTTACAAAGATGCACCAGATCTACGTGATTCTTACATTAGCTCTCTTATGACGCAAAAAAGATTTGGTTGGCTATTAGGACACTTGCATATCAATCATTACTTGCCAAATAGTGATTCGGAATATTTTGATCGTCTTTATAAAGTATGGCCTTTGTTAGATCATTTAGAAAAAGCTTTTAAGTATTGTCTTTTATCAAGTGAAGTATTAGCCTTGGACGAGTCGACGATCAAATTTAAAGGTTCAGATCAAACTTCTGCTATATTTATATAATATTTATGTTGGAAAATCCCAAGATTAACTTTTACGTACACCTTTTATCAAATTACCACAATCCTGAAGATTGCAGAAAAGATAGTAGAAGAGGAAAAAATAGAACAGTGTCGATAAATTCGATCAACTTTTAGCTAACTACTAAATAGATCGACAAAGCAACAAATGGTGGCATCGTATATTTTTCCAATTCGTATATGCTATATAAAATAATTAATCTGCCTGATAGATTAAATTCTGTTGCGCATCAGCCTCAGCGTGGAACAAGAAGAAAGTGCGGTGTATGTAAGACGGCTAAACCCGAATGATTCTAGTTCTAGGTCTAGTGTTAGTTCTTGTTTTGTATCTGTAGAACTAACACTAGATCTAGAACTAGAAACATTCCGGTTTAATTGATTTCAAATGAAATCAGTGATTTTAAAAAATATATCTGTACCTTAGGGGTAAAGGATCGTAACTCCAGTTTTTGTCAATATCGAGTTAATTATTATAAAACTTATTATAATAGTATTATAAAGTTTTAAACCTTGTTTTTTAAAAAACCTAAAATAATGGAGATACAATCCTTTACCTCTAAGGTACAGGTATATAAAATTAATTTTTGACTTTGAAAACTTCAAATTTGGTATAACCTAAC